TTGAAGTTATTGGTTTGTGAAATGCTTGCTTTGAAACTATTGGTAGTATAAGCGTGGGCTTTTGTGTGATGGTTGTGGGAGCCTATATAATCTTTACCTGAAATTGCCTCAGGGTCGATCGCTCTAACCAGACCTGTGTGTCTTGGAAGGACGGTCGGCCCCAGCTAGCTGGTTTAATAAAACTCTGCTTGATTTTTGCATCTCCATACTCGTGCATTTGTTCCCCAGAAGAGACCCACCGAGTCACAGACCCTAACAGTTCTCCAAAGCCAAAATAAAATGGTAGAGGAGAAAAACAGTCAACTTTCCTTGGAGAGGCAACAAATGGTAGACACATTAGATCACCTAAAAAATAAAGAGCACAAAACTCAAAGCTAGATGGCCATTCTCAAAAATGAAAACAATCAAATGAATATAGAAATGGAGGCCATGAAAACAAATGCTCTCTTGATACAAGATGAAAAAGAAATGTTAGAGAAAAACACACACCAGCTCCTGAAGGACAGAACTTCACTTGAAAATGAACTGAAGGAAAGCCATTTAGAGATCACACAACTCAAAGAGAAAGAAGGACTGGCAAAAACCGAGCTAGAGTTGCTTCTTCAAATACTAGAAACAGCTAAAAAGGAAAAACTAGATCTGGAGACAACACTACAAGATTCTACCTCTGCTAGGCAAATGTTGGAAAGAGAAATGGAGAGTATTCAGACCTACCAATCTGCTGCAGAAGAGAATTTCCTGAAAGAAGTTAAAAGTGCAAAATCAGAAACAAACATTTACAAAAACAACTTGGAAGAAATTAGCAAGGAATGTGAAATGCTATCACAAATGGTCTTGGAAATTAAGACAGACAACGAGATTCTGAAAGAAGAACTAAAGAAGCATAGTCAAGAAAACACAAAATTTGAAAGCAGCATCAGTAGACCTACTGAAGACAAAGTGCTTTTAGAAAACTACATAAGTATAGAAAATGAAAGGGATACCTTAAAATTTGAGATGCGAAACCTTCAATGAGAGTATTTGAATTTAAGTGATAAAATTTGCAGTCACAACAATGTTCTATCAAAATTGGCTTATATTTCAAGAAGAGAGAAATTCTATTTTGACAACTATGATGCTTATGAAGACAATTCCAGTCCAAGGAGTGGGCCTTTGGCTCCTGATAGGAAAGGTGTGTACATTCTGACAGAGTAGTAGAGACATGTGTAAGATTCTTTCAGCCTCTTGGCCACTAACCAAAGTATAGAAATGAAAAGAGGGGTTAAGAGAGATGGCTCAGTGGTTAAGAGCATGTATTGCTTTTGTAGAAGACCCAAGTTCAGGTCCCAACACCCACATTAGATGGCTCACATCCTCCTATACTTCAGATTCAGAGGATTCAACACACTTTTCTGGGGACACCTGCACTCACACATGCACACACCCACACATATATTTAAAAAAATAAAATCTTAAAAAAAAGAAATGAGGCTAGGTGTGGTGATGCATGACTTGAATACCAGCACTTGGGAGGCAAAGGCAGGCAGAGCTCTGTGAGACTGAGGCCAGCCTGGTTTACATTAATGAGTTCCAGGCCAGTTGTGACTACAGAAAGACCCTGTCTCCAAAAGACCAATCAAAAGAAGGAAGGAAAGAAAGAAAAAAAGGAAGGAAGGAGAAAATGACGCTGAATACAATTTAGTTTCATAAGGATTTTATCTGATTTAGTATACAATGGAATCATTTAGAATTTTTGTTCTTTAGATAAAATGCGTTACTTATATACACAGAATATGTACAAGGCATCTTTGGTGGGGAGAAGGGTTTTTAAATCATTGTTCAAAGGTACACTTAGCTATCACATCTTAAAAAACATTTCCTCTTCTTTTTCAGGAATTTCAAGTAAACTGTACCAATGGCTTCCATCCAAGATATGCAAATAAATTTCAAAAGAAATCAATGCTTTAAAAACTTTTTCCAAGTATTTTTCCCCCATAAAATAATCTTAAATTAACTTTTACATCTGATTTAATGACTTTATAAATGATTAAAATAGTCTTTTTCTAGTCTTTTTTTCTTTTTCTTTCTTTCTTTTTGAGACAGGGTCTCCTGTTGCCTGCCCTGGCCTGGAACTCACAGACCAGGCCTTGAACTCACAGACGTCCACCTGCCTCTGCCTCCTGCGTTTTGGGATTAAAGACATGGCTACCACACCCATCTTGTAAATGGTTAAACTAGTTTTTAAAATAGAAATTAGAATTAGGTTAGATTGTCAAACACTTTTAAGAATCTCGTGCCCATGGAGACATGTGCATACTAGTCCATGTTCTCCCCCAGGTTTATCTTTCTAGCAGAAAGGGCAGAAACACTTCACCTTAATCCAGGTCTCTCAAGGGCCAAGAGAAGTCCTGCCACCATCCTTGTGAAAACAGGCACTGCAGGTTCTAATGCCTTGGTTGCTGTCACCCTAGCCATGGGTAATAAAATTTTTAGGCTTCTAAGCACTCAGATTGCAGAACTTGCTCACTACACCCAGGTAGTCTGTGAGTTGCCCCCTTCCCTGAATTCTTCAGGGAAGCATAATTTCTCTTTTTTTCTTCATGCCTTTCTTACTGAACATGCTTTAAGACTTTGAGCTACCCCTAGCATCTTGCACCTCTTTACTTTCTCTAAAACTTCCTTCTCCCAGCCACGTGTCTGACCTCCCACGCAGGCTCTAAACCTGCATGGCCTCATGTCTTTCTATCTTTACCTCCTCCAGGCAGCCTGCCCTGAGGATTTCTTTTTCTTTAAAATTCTAATAAAATTGCAAAAGCTTAAAAAAAAAAAAAAAAAAGCTGGTGTCACACCCAACTGATGAGCTGATATTTTACTACTCTTCCACATCTTGTGAAATCTAATGGACAAAGGAAATCCTGGGTCAGAGAGAAAGGAGAGCCTGCTACTCATAGCAAGAGCCAGAGCACCCTCTTGTTTGCACTCCGAACTCAAGATTCCCACAGACAACTTAGAAAGTCACACAGTGGGTTGCATCATAGGAGAGACCGGCATGCCCTGAGAGACACGGTTGCCCTTTAGGCACATAGGAGCACGTTCATCTATTTTTACCTATATAATTCTTTTTTGAATTTTGCCAAATGCTTTTTCTTTTATTGATGCAAACATTTGTTAAGATATTGTTACATTTATTTTGCAGCATTTTGCATTCCTGGAATAAACACTACTAGGCTTTGTTATTCTTTTGTGTATATTCCTGGATTCAATTTGATACCAGTCATGAAGGATTTCTACTTTGATGGTGAGAACAGTGGTTTACATATATATATATATTTACATATATATATACATATTGCAGTGGTTTTGTCTGGTTTTGATTTCTGGAAAACCATGGCCACTAAAACTACAGGTGCATCCTTCCACATTTAACCTATCTCTGTTTTCTTCTCTGCTGCATCTCAGGATCTGAATAATGCTTAGAACATAGTAGCTACTTGGTGTTTGTTAAATAACAAACAAGCTGCCATTATACTAGAGAGAATCAGACATAGGCTGGACACTCATCTGGTAAGGCGTTAAGAAACTTAGACAAGATGGCATTTTAGATTTTTCCTAAGTAATGATTCCAAATTTCCTTTGAAGATTTTTAAATGGGGTAATTATTGTTTTCTACCTATTTTCCATAGGTTTCTAATCAGTGTCTTTGATAAGGAGCATAGCAGAGAAGACTGAAAGCGAGTCTTCCCAGTCTTTTTGTTAAGTAGTATGTGTTCTATATTTGATTTCCTACAAGCAAAACTGTACCTTACCCTGCTCTCTAATTTTTACAAAGACTGTTCAGGGAATAATGTAACTTGAAGGCATTTAGTAATCATCCTTTCTGTGGAAAACTGAAGCAGCAGCCTGGGAACAAAGTCTTACTCATAAACTGATGGTTCACAGCAGCAGCAGGAAGGCCGGGCCTCCCTCCTGCAGGCTGTGCTGCTCTCAGCAAGAGTCACACTTTCTCTGCCTCCACCTCCTTTGTCCATGAACATTAAATGCAGTAACTATGAGCATATCACAGTGAAATGCAACTTAGCATAGAGTAAGCACACTATCAGAAATCAGCTACTAATTCATTGATATTTTAAACAAAATACTATAATAGAAAATTGTTATAAGAATCCAAATGACTAAATTATAATTTATAACAAATTGGTGTATAATAATGATATAGGTTTTTAAAGCACATATTATAGCTAGGAAAAACTCTTTAATTTGGTCTTCATAATTATTTATGGTAGACAATGTCTATAAGGAAAGTTTTCAAGAGGTCAGTTTGTTCCAACATAGCTAGCACAAGCCATCCAATATACAAACATATGCATAGCTTGCATGAACCACAACATTTATCTATTGATTTATTTATTTTGTTTTATTTATTTTTCTGGTTTTTTTTTAGACAGGGTCTCCGTATAGCCACAGCTGGCCTGGAACTCACAGAGATCTGCCTGCCTCTGCTTCCCGAGTGCTGGGATTAAACGTGTGCTTCACCATGCCTGGCAGGCCACAACATCTATATACAAAAGGATCAAGCAGTCTTTGTGGAACCAGAAATGTTAGTAATATTTCCAGAAAAAATAATATACTATGAGTAAACTTTCTGTTGCTTTTAGAATGTCTTGTTCCTCAAGTCTCTCTTAAAGTTAAGTCTTTCTTCCATGGTCCAGTTAATGCCTACAGTCTTTGTTTCAACTTTGAGTCTTGAAAAATGTGGTTGGATGATTTGTAGCAGATTAATGGCTGGCTAAGCAAGTTTATTTCTTCCCTTATTCACTGGTAGAAGAGAGAAAAACAGTCAAGTTGTACCACATCATAAAGGAAAAGAAGATAGATTAGTCAAGAGTTATTAGAAGTAGTCAAGAGATAAGACATCAGTCAGCACTGCCCATTGACTCTAACTTCTTTCTGAGTCTGATTTGCATCCAAGTCTGAATAAAGAGGATTTTCGAGAAACTACGTAATGCTGTGCTTTTGTATTTTCAAAACTAAAAAGAGAACCACTGTGAGAAAATGAGTTTGCACCACTCAAACCAAATGTGCATTCTATACTTACACTCTGAAAATCTGAGTTTTTTTATATTCTTCACTATTCCTGCTACCAGCTTTGTCACTTTCTTTCCTGTAAGTTGAGAAAATTATGTAAACTCTTAGATAAAATCTGCCAATGCCCTATTACTTCTTCCTCCTTTCAGTAAAGCATCAGAGAAGATCCCTGTCCATTGATGCTCTATGGAGCACACAGTGCTTTAGAAGACACAATAATAAACAGTTGCAGCTAACAAAATACACTGTCAAAATGGACAATTGCATAGATTTTAATAAAATCTGTAAATATAAACCCACTATCTCAAAATACATATACTTACAGAGCTTGTTTGGTATTATCTATTAATACATAACGATACATTTGAGTTGGTTGTATGGAACTAGTAAAGTCATTCCTATTTTGAAGACCATGTGACCATTAAATCACATTTTATGCACAGTGATATTTTTAAGACATTCATCATAAAATTTAAAAACAAATTTGACAATGGTAAAAATTACCTGTATTATCTTCATTCCTTTGAAAGCCAGATATAGATGTGGCTTAACATAGTTTCTCCATTGAGAAAAATAAGCACCAAAGAGAAAGAGTCTTGGCATCTCTGTATAGGGTGATTTCCAGCTCTGAGACAGATTGGACTGGCAGAGGCACAAACACTCAGACAGCACCTTTGATGGAAAGTGATTTTCCAAGTATATTTTAATAAATATTTTAAATTTCCTTTTTCACATACAACTCTTCTGTTAGAGATTTCACTGGGAACTATAGTGATATACTTAAACCCTAGCTTTTTAAAAAATATTTTACTTATTATTTTTATTTTTTTGTGTATGAGTGTATTATTATCTACATGTGTGTAAGTGCACCCATGTCATGCAATGCCCATGGAAGTCAGAAGAGTGTTGGATTCCCCTGGAACTGGAGTTATAGACAGTTGTTAGCCACCATGTAGGTGCTGGGACTCGAACCTGGATCCTCTGCAAGAGCAGTCAGTGCTCTTAATTACTGAGCCATCTCTCAAGCCCCTGAACCCTAGCTTTTAAGAACAGTTACCTTTAAAGGGAGAGGTGGGTAAAGGAGAAGAGAGAACCTGGAACTTGAGTGAGTCTGAAACAGGATGCTACAGGAAAGCCACTTTGGGGCTCTTTTGGAACAAGAGAGGCCACCAAAGAGAAGCTCATTCATATTGCTCTAGTTAAGATACCACCTGTCAGCTTACCCAGGTGCTCCCATAGAAATAACCTTAAGCTTTGCCCAAGTTATAAATAGAAGGCATAATACCATTCAGGATAAAATGCACATCTCACTATAATGCCACATATATACACATTAATTGTGTAGTATAAATGGATCTAATATTTATCCTTACAGTTTTGATAGGCTATAATACTTGGGTAACTCTCAATACAATTTTCAAATATCTCTAAGAAACAAGTGAAGAATTTGCTAGGTACTTTAGTCCAGTCCAGGCCCTATCTCTTCCTATCCCCTCTAACCCTCAACTTCTTAACCATAAGTAAAATTTTTCAAATGAAAGACATTTCAAAATTTTATAATTTTAAAGATTATCTTCAGTCTAGAAACATAGATCTAAAAACACGGTCAGCAACCCCATATTAAACTATTAGCCAACACTATTTATTAAACAATAGCATTAAAATCAAGAATATTGGCATTGAGTGCAGGTTTAAATTTCTTTTAAATGCTTGATCTATTCTGTAATATTTTAAGATGAGTTACTGGTAGTCAGGATCTAGAAAACCAATTGTCTTCCAAATAACTCTGCTGAAGCAGTCTTGTAGTTCTTCATATTTAGTGTCCTAGAATTAGAAAACAAAGTGTATTTAATTGTATTAATCCAGGTAATATATCTTTACATTCTGATATCTGCATTACATTTTAAACTAGTATATTTTTTAAGATTAACACTCCATAAGCCCCAGGGCACAAACAAAATTTTCTCACCAACTTGAAGACATTTTATTAAAGTCAGATACATTTAGAACTCTGAGAAGAAAAATAATTATGGAATAAATTTTAACTACTAGTGTCCAAAATTTTATTCATTTTAACATTAGTGGAGAAGAACCAAAAACTGGATTTCAGATCATTGTGATCATCTGAAAAGAAAGAGATGTCAATAAACCTGAAGTTGCTGAACATACAAAAACCTTTTTATTTTTTCAAGGAACAATCATCTTTCTCTGTTTTAAACATATAAGGGTATCGCAGAATTTCTCAGGTTTGTTCTTGGATAGAAAAAAACACATTCCTACATACCCACAAAAAGTTTCATCGGCCAGGCGTGGTGGTGCATGCCTTTAATCCCAGCACTTGGGAGGCAGAGGCAGGCAGATCTCTGTGAGTTCAAGGCCAGCCTGGTCTACATAGTGAGTTCCAGGACAGCTGGGGCTACAGGGAGAAATCCTGTCTCAAAAATACCCAAAAAAACCAAAAAAGTCTCATCTAGTTGAAGGAAAATTCCAATTTTATTATCTGTTCTATTAGATGAAGTTGGCAGAGTGCTAATAGGTAGCTTACCCATGGCTAAATCCAAGGGATACAGAAAAAGAGCTTCATATCTCCTGTTTCCAAATCCAGTACTCTACCAGCTGGTCCATGCAGAATATTATTCCAAGAGACATTAAGGCTTTGGGTTTGACTTGGCTTGGCTTGCTTTGGTTTGGTTTGGTTTGTTTGTTTGTTTGTTTGTTTGTTTGTTTTTGAGACAGGGTCTAACTATATAGCCCTGGCTGACCTAGAACTCACTTCACTCTGTAGACCAGGCTGACCTCTGCCTTCCAAGTACCAGGATTAAAGGTGTGCACCACCACACTCACACTCAGCTAGACAGCAGTTTAAATGACAAATTCACCCTCATGCAAAGTGATTGAATCACCTTTATAAAGAAAAGTCACTTAGAGAAACAGTTCGAATTTAATTTTGTTCAGAATATTTTAATTTTGCTTAGTCAAAATCAATATTTTTACTACACAAAACTGTAAATAAAGTAATTTGAAGAACAGTTATGCCTATAAATCAGTTGCATTGTCATCATAATTATATTATCACTGTTCAATTATATTAACCTGTTCGTTTGAGCCCACATGAAGAATCAGCAACACTTAGAGTCTTAGAAGTGGCTCCATACTGCATCTAGAGGACTATTCATTTCATCTGTGCTGCGTTATAACACCTCATAAATCAGAGACTTTGGATAAATTACACAGTTTTGACTCCTATTTACCATTTGATGATGCCATAGCCACTTACATATTTTTTAAAGTATTTTGTGCTTGAATTTGGTTGTTGCATAAAATTTGAATGTACTGCATTCTAGATAACTGATATTGTTACACCAAAGAAGTTGACTTCATGGGAAACACATTGGTTGCAATATTCCTAATGAGGTTTAACACAATGAGGTACAGTAATCATAGGATTCAAGGCAAGAAGAATATACACAACCTTCTGTAGTTAATACTGTTGGTGTATGCAAATACTCAAGAAGCAACCCTATTAAACTTACCATTGGAAAATACTGATTTTTTTAACAATATAAAAATCATACTGCTACATGTGCAAAAGAATTTATAATGTCAGGTCTAACAAAGTGACTATGATCCATAAGAGAACAGTTATAAAGACTTTAGAAAAAAGACAATGGGAAACAGGTGAAAGACAGAATAAACCAGCTTATCAGCAATGCAGCAGGCAGGCTAAAAAGAGTTTATATAATTTATATGTTCCATGTAGCTAAAGCAAAGAGCATTTAAATAACAAGAAGAAGGAGAGAACAGCAGGTTACAGTCACACTTTGCAAAGGGCCTGCAGCTCTACTTACAAATAGTGGAAATTAGATAGTATTTAATAATATACATGTATCTTTTCTCAAAGCATTATATTTATATTTTTAATTAACTAGAATATTTCCTCTTTTCACAGATGGATATTTCAGTTAAGATAGAATTCTCAGGATCATTAGGATTCCACACAATTGCTGAGATGCCCCAAGCATTAGCAAATGCTGACATGAACAAACATTCGAGTAGTCTCAAATGACATAATAAACTGCCTCCCATAAAGGAAGGGGGTATGTGGAATGTGTTGAGATTTCTAACATTCGGTTTTGCCATTTTTACAAGTATAAATACATACTTTTTGCTTTGAAGATGTTTAAAAGTTAGAAATGATTTTTCTTAGTTTATGGACTAAATATAATCCTACCTTCTGATGTTCAACGCCACTATACTTTCAATGGGTCTGCTTTTTGGACCATTTGGTGGATGGAAAATCTTTTCAGTTTTTCCAGTAATCTTTCCCAATTTAACCACATAAGGATCAGCAGAGTGTAATGGGTAAGGGTCAAATGTTCCCGCCTTCATTCCACCAGGCTACAAATAAAAACAAGATGATTCAATGCAAGTGTGTAAAATGCTTCTACAAAATTAAGTTGTGAAGATGTTCATGTATACTTCTCTAGTCTATGGAGTTTGTTTTACATTTAAAGAAAGTTATCAGTTCTATTCCATTCAAATACCAGCAAAGGACCTCCCCAGCACCAATTCTGCAGTGTTCAATCATAATTCTAAAAGTTTTTATAAAAACAGAAATGTTTGTAGAAGATATTCTAAGCTGTTACCAAGCATTAATATTTTAGTTTAATCAAGCTCTCACCTAGTAATGTGGTAAGCCTGTTAGTGAAGGAAGGAAGCATAAATCAGCTCTTTCTTGATAGAGAAGGGAATAGGGAGCTTAGCATTCGCATGACTATACTGAATTCTGTCTATGATAGTGAGAAGACATCTTCCCAAAAGGAGCAGCATAGACATGAAAGGTATGAGGAGAATGTGGTCTACTTTACGGCACTGTTCTTATGGTTTAATAAGAGAAGTCAATCAAAATATTTCTCTACCTATACACAAGGTAGACCAGAAATTACTTTGACTTTTTAAACTGATTTGCTAGGAATTTTTATCTTTACATTGCATAGTAATTCAGATAATTCTATGTGATGACAGCATGCCTATAATCTCAGGCCCAAGGAAGGAGGATCTCAAGTTCAAGGCCTGCCTGGGCTATTTACATAGCTAGGCCTTGGAGGAAAGGGGTGGGGAGGAGAAAGAGAAGGACAAAGAGGAAAGGCGAGAGAGAAGGGAGAGAGAGAGAAAACTAGAAAGTAAGGAGGAAGAAGGAGAAGAGAGCAAGACAGAGAAAAAGAAAGGGGAAGGAGGAGGAGGGGAAGGAGGAGGAGGAGGAAGAGGAGGGGGAGGAGGAGAAGGCAGAAGCAGTAAAAACTAGGGATATAGCTCCTTGGCTGAGCATTTGCCTAGTATGTGTGAAGTCCTAGGTTTGATCCCAAGCAATAAAATTGAAAGAAAGGAAGAAACGATGGATGGAAGAAAGGGAGGGAGGGAGGGACAGAGGAAGGGAAACTTACTCTATGGAATTACAACCCATTTAAGAATATTTTTGTTTGTGGGCTGGAGAGCTAGTGCAGCTGTTAAAGGCTCAGGCTCACAACCATAAAAGAATATTTTTGTTTGTAATGTGCAAGGCAAAAATACAAGGAGATTGAAACTAGATAGCATTTAATAATATACATATACCTTTTCTTTTTTAATATTTTATTTATTATTTTTATTTTATGTGTATGTGTGTATTGTCTGCATGAAGGTAAGTGCACCCATGTCAAGGAGCCTCAAATGACTCAAAATATCTTCTATGAAGGAGATATTATTGTGATCTTTGCATGTTTTCCAGATTGAGAGCACATGAATTATCTTGAAAACCTATAAGGAATCTTAAGAAAAGTAAAATATATTAAAAATATAAGAGAAAAATTAAAAATATATATGGTTCATAAACCCACCCAATGATGCTTTAAAGACAAGATAAGGGGATAGAGAGAAAGCTCCACTGTTAAGAGAATGCACTGCTCTTGTAAAGGACCGGAGTCCAATTCCCAGAACCTGCATTAGAAGACTCACATCCACCTATAATTCCAGTTCCAGTTCCAGGGGATCTAATGTCCTCTTCTGGCCTCTATACACACAGAGACACATATAATTCAAAATAAAAATAAAGTCTTTTTTAAAAAGCAAGACTAAGATAAATAGAGGAATCATAAATCCATACTTAAATGGAATTCCAAAAATATAAAATATTTTATACACCTCATTTTAAAAATATTTTATTATTTTCATGTGTATGCGTGTATTGCCTGCATGTAGGTAAGTGCACCCGTGTCATGCAATGCCTACAGAGGACAAAAAAGGCTGTTGAATCTCCTGGAACCGGAGTTATGGACAGTTGTTAGAGGCCATGTGAGTGCTGGGATTCAAACCTATGTCTTCTGCAAGAACAGCCAGTGTTCTTAACCGCTGAGCCATCTCTCCAGCTCCACCTCTCATTGTTTTAAAGCCTAAATGAAACCAATGATTAAGAATATATAAGCTACCAAAATTGAACAAAAGGCAATAGAGAAGTTAGAGAAAACAGGTGGAGAAGTGGGACGACCTGAGAAGGCTAACAAGGGTCACCCTTGAAACAGGGCTAAAAACACAGAACACTTCACACATGGGTTGCTTCAAGCCTTCATGTGGAACAGAACTTTCCAGTATTATTTAAATTGATATAAAAGGAAACCTCCAAAATTATTTTAATGTGCTAGCAGCTACATTTTATACCAAACAGAACAAAGAATTTTTTCTAAAAACAATCATTTTAAGTTATTGATGCACGGTTAGAGACATAGCTCAGTTAGAGATGTAGCTCTTCAATGACACTTGTCAACCATGCTCAAGATCATGGGTTTGATCTCCAGAACCACATGGGGGTGGGGGAGAGACTGAGAAAGAGAAGAAAAATACTGAGGGGCTAGAAAGATGATGGCTCAGCAATTAGGAGCACACACTGCATCCATGTCAAGTGACTCCCAACGGCCTGTAACTACAGCTCCAGGAAATATGACACCATTTCTTGCCTCCTCAGAAACCCATATACATGTGGCATACACACAGAGACAGACACATATATGTACATAAATTAGGGAAAAAGAATGCGGGGGTTTCGAGCCAGCAACCCCCGCGCAGTGATGATTGGGGATGAGTAAGCACACCATTCGCCAGCCCATGCCGCCCCTAGTACTGGGGACAATCAGACGCAACAGGGAGCCTAGTCAAGCAGGGACTCATTTATTGCCATTGTTACAGAGCTTATAAAGGCATCTGGAAATCCCCCCCCCCGGAGGGTGTATCTTAAGGATGGTCATGTGCTGCTCATGCACTCCTCAGCAGTGCGGAAGTATCCTTCAGACTTTTAAAACAAGTCAGGCTGCGCCCCAGTAACTTCCTCTCGGACCTCTGAAAAGTGGGGCCTTTAGGTCCCCACATCTCCCCCTTTTATTTTTATTTGTTACCCACCTCATAGGCAGCTCCCTGAGGAGAGACGGCTATCTCCTTTCTCTAATCTTATGCATTTTTTCCTGTCTTAGGTTGTGTCACCTCTGACCAAGCCTTGCCCATCATTGGACCATGCACCTGGCCATGTGCATGTCCTGTCTTAGGAGTTCTTGTCATGGGACATCTTACCCATCCTTAGCTAAAAATGCATCATGATTAAGAACAGCCGCATGGATAATGCCAGCCCATGACAGTCTTAGTCTCTGCCTAACTCGGTTAGCCAAGCGTGGGCAACCGGAGGGGGTATATTCCTGGGGGAGTCCATAATCATGAGGAGGTGGGCCATGGCAGTTCCAAGGGTCCTCTGTTGCTGAATTATCTGGTAAAGACACTTAAAGATAAGCATTATCAAGAGAAACAAAGCAAGTCAGAAATACTTCTGAGAACATGTACCTTTTAGCCAATCAGCCAGCTGTCTGAAAGGCAAAGAGGCTGACTGGCAATGAAGCCAAGGAACTGGGTCCTTCACCTCAGATGGATATAAATAAAGAGGAATTTTGTCTCATGAACTATTGTCCATGGATCGTCATGCTAGTCAGTCGGATCCTGGCCTACCCACTTAAGGTTTTTCTCAGGCACCCACATGGGGTTTGATTCTCCTGTAGGGTAGACACACCCAAAGCCTCGACCCATGGTTAGCAATGGATCTGGTCCTTTCAACCTTCAAGTTCTCCCCAAGGTCTGATTTTGGTATCTTATTTGACATTTCTACTCCTAACCTAGGAATCCTCATTCCCTTTGTCCTAATTATTTCTTTATTTTCACAAACATACAAGGCTTGTAACTTATTTAAAATTTTTGTTATTATTATGTTCTTTCATCCTCAGGATGTTGTGGTGACCTAAAGGCACCACCTTGCATAGGTCCGAAAGGAAGTTACTGGGGGTGCGGCCTGGCTTGACCTTGGGAATTGTAGGGAATTCCTGTCTTGTGTTGAATTCCCCAAAGTGAGAAGAAATCTTGCAAATTTTTATTCACAAAACATGGCCCATTATCAGTTTTAATTCTTTGGGGCAATCCCAACGTAGCAAAGCACTGGAGAAAATGAGACTGAGCATGTTTAGACTTCTCTCCTGTATGAGCAGTAGCCCAATAGGCATGTGAGAATGTGTTGATGGAAATATAAAATATAAAATATACTTAAGCTTTCCAAAAGGAGCATAGTGTGTGACATCTGTTTGCCACAAGGAATTGGGCTTGAGTCCCCTGGGGTTTACCCCTGGCTGTTGAAGAAGCAGTACCTGTACACAATAAGCCATCTTGTCTGCCTCTGCATTGCCTTGGTATAAAAGCCTGGGCAATCCTTGGTGCCCCCTAAGATGCTGTAAGAAGATATGGGCTTCCCTCTCTTTAAGGAGCATATGAGTCTGAATATTGTCAGAAAGCAATGGCCATGAGTTCCTTGAATTGAGCTGAGCCATCACAAGTGTGGACATACCTTTTTGGTTTCTCATCTGCCCCCAGGTATACTACCACTGCAGCTCAAAATCTGCTCCCATCAGTGAAAACATTGTAGGCTTTTACTAAGGGCTCCGTCAGCCCCAGGATTCAGCAAGCGCTGCTGCCGGCGAGGCTGTAACACTCGGGGGCGGGTGGATCCCTGGCTGCCCATGGAATGGACCGGGGGGAGGGGTGGGTCCCTGGCAGCCCATGGAATGGACCCCCCCTCCCCCACCGAGCCACCTTCCCCAAACCGGGCCTTCCCAGCCATCCCGGAGCACACTGCCAAAGGTGTTTTTTTTTTTAAATGCACCGCTGCCCAATCCCCCGCCCAGCTTTCACACGGGCCCGTGACTCGTGCATGCGTTAGTTCAAGGCGGGTAGGGCGGGCAGCTTTGCCGCCAACCCCGTGCATTCTGCTCTGCCCCGCCCTTCTGAAAAAGGCATCCATGGGTCCTGTTTTCATGGATCCTGGGAGGCCCTGAAGCTAG